CACTCGTGGGGAGGCCATGGGAGGACCCCTCCCCCCACCACGTGTTTAAGCACTAACACACCCAGAGAGACTGCTGCGTGTTTCACGTCCTCACCTCTGTGAGCTCTTGAGGACAACGGTCCTCCTCTCCAGGCACAGATGAGCAACCCGGAACCCGAGGGGCTGAGCAGTTCAAGGTTGAACCCATCGCAAACATCACTGCTGGGACTGGACTCAGACCTCTGTGCTTCTGTCATAGCCGGTGATCTGGGACATGGACTCAAATCCAGGGCACTCTCCACTTAGTCACCAAGGAGTCCTTGTGTCCCTGGTGTGCTGGGCACAGGTGAGACCCAGGGGGATGTGATGTGCATTCTTCTCTCCATCCCACAGGGGGATAAATGGGTAGGTGGATGATTCTCTTACAAAACCCAAAGAATATGGGACTTTAGATGGTGCCCCAGGTGGCCAGGACCAGTGTCCTCTGTGCCTGGGGCCGTCCTCGCCCTGCTGGTGGGAGATCCACACTTGTGTGGCTCTTCCTTCCCTTCTGGAAGTCGCCAATGGGGGCCCTTCACCCCAGAACGTGCGGTGGTACCTAGACTCCAGCTCCCTGGAGCAACGTGACTGTCCCCAGGACCAGGGTCATCCCCGAGAAGAATCCAGCAGCCAGGAAGTTCTGCAGCTCCCGTGTGCCCCCCGTGTGCCGGGCCAGGCTCTGGCTGCCCCCCCGGGAGGACCACCTTCCCCGCCTGGGCAGTAACGTGTCTGCTTTTTCTCCTCTCCCTGGAAATGCACTTCGACTCTTTTTTTTAACAAATAACACAATTTCCCCTTTGTGTTTCCCTTAATAAAACACAGCGATGAAAGCGAGAAAGGGAAAGTAGAACAGCATGTTGCTGCCATCTCCACTCTGCCATGGGATGCCCCTCTTCCTGCCCCCACCCAGCCCGCGCCGCCCCCCAGAGCTCGGCCACAGAGAATCGCGGGTCTGCTGGTGCCGCTCCGTGTCTCCCGCCCCAGAGAGGCGCAGCTCCAAGGCGGGCCTGCACGTCTTGCCCCTTCTGCCACGACTGAACTTGACTGAGGACAGGCAATAGGAGGGGATGGAGTGCAATCCGGGCACCTCCCGCTGGAAGACGTTTGCCCAGGTCACGAGGTCCATGTACGGCCTCTTGGGACCCCGTGGTGACCCCTCCTGCATTGGCCCTTGTTTCTCTTTTCCAGTGATGACATCTGCCGGGCTGGCCTGGCAGGGACCCCCGTCTCCTGCCCAGAGCAAAGCACTCGGCTTAAGACACAGATGCTGGATGTCTTGGAATCTGCTCAAAGTTGAGTGATTCCCAATGTTTGGATCAGCAGCCGGTCTCTTATCAGGGTTACGTGCAAGTTTCCACATGTGGGGCCAATTGTCCTCAAGGGGGCAAGGACAGGGGGCTCGGGAATAACACCTGCAGGACGTCAGCAGTGGCTACCGCGCTGACAGGAGGTGGGCTGTGAACGCACCATCGCTGGGAGTGACGCAGGCCTCGGGGCCGTGGCGTGGGAGAGACCAGGAGGAGGAGGAAGAGGAGGAGGACCTGGTGCGGGCAGGTTTGGAGGAAGGGGCGCACCGGACAGGTCCTGGAAGGAGCGGCTGCCTTGGCGCGTGGCCGACCCGAAAGTCATGGGCCAGCGGTGGGAGCTCCAAGAAAGTGCGTCTTGACCTAATTTAAGCCGAAGTTGCACCAGAAGAGCTTCCAGGTTACGGCGAACTCCACACGTCCTCGGGGGTCGTGTCTGGCTCTCGTCCAGCGGCTCTGTGGCGCATGCTCTCATTAAAAAAGGAAAATGGTCCACTCTGAGTTTACGGTGGGGGACCACGAGGCCCAGGCAGGGGGCCAACGAGACGATGCCTGTCCCCCACCCACATCACAGACTCGAGCAGGCACTTTGCAGTGCCCCTAACGGGGCCTGGGAGGGGCCCAATGACCCACAGAAGAGAGACCCCACCCCGCTATACAGGTGTCTCCTTACTGGCTCAGACCCCCAAGCCAGCCCGCCCCTGGGCAGAGTCTGGGAAGCAGGTGACAAGGACCTGTGGGTTCCGCTGCCCCCCACCCTCTCCTCCCCCACCCCTCTGTCCTCAGCCTGATTTCACCAGCTTCAGATGGGCGAGGGCCTTTCCGACCATGACCATCGGGTGCAGCCCCTTCATTTCACGGAGGAAGGGCTGCTCCCTGCCCAGGTGACCCGATGGCCCCGCCCACTCAGGAGCAGAGCAGGGAGCGGCACTCAGGCCCTGGGAATGGGGACCCTGCGTGTTTTCGCCTCTTTGATGGATCCCACTGCAGACAGCACAGCCCTCACGTCACCCCAGCAAACAGTGGGCATCTGTCTATCCCTCCCACATGCCTGGCTCGGGGCGAGGCCCTGGGGCTGCTGCTGTGAGGAGGGGACAGGTGTCCCTCCTGAAGGTGCCCCCGAGCCCCCAGCAGGGGAGAGACATTGCCACCAAGTACTCGAGAGACTCTACGAGGGACATTTTTTCACTCGCTCTACATATTTCCCAAGTTCAAGGCCTTTAGTGAAACCCAGACTCTGCTGGGCATTGAAAAGTATTCCTCGACTCCCTGGCTGGTGTGGCTCAGTGGATTGAGCACCGGCCTGCGAAACAAAGGGTCGCCGGTTCGATTCCCAGTCAGGGCCCATGCCTGGGCTGCGGGCCAGGTTCCCTGGTGAGGGGCCCGCGAGAGGCAACCGCGCACGGATGTTCTCTCCCTCTCTTTCTACCCCCTTTCCTCTCTCTGTAGAACTAAACAAATAAAATCTTCAACAACAGTTTTCCTTGTGATGGTGTTTGTCGTACCCCATTCTTTCCCTTGTGTAACTTCTCGTTGATACACGCTCCTAAGAGTGCTTGCAATTCATATTTCCCCTGCTATGTTGGGGGGTGGCAGGCTGCACAAAGGACGGGTGTCGGGAGACATGCCACTCACCATGTGGGTGTCCTGCGCCCCAAGGACTCATGGGAGAAGACGGCCAAACCTGTTTGCTCTGCCTGCCTCATAGGCTCGTGGTTAAGGTCGAGCAGAGTCAGGTCTGCGAAAGGGCCCAGCAGGACGGAGCTGCCTTCCAACGCCAAGTGTGGGACCCTTCGCTCTTCCCCACGATTCCTGGAAGCCATGGGCAGAGTTGGGCTTGTGCCTGCTGGTGAGGCCACTGTCACCACCCCTGAGCCCGATGGAGTGAGGGCTGCCTGCAACTTTCTCCTAAAAATAAGGACCCGATCCCCTCCTGGGAGAAGGTGAGAGCGCATGCTTGCTTTGTGACATCTCACCGGCTCAGGTGCAGTTTGCCGTGGTGCCTGGTGACTGTAATTCAGTCCCTGCAGTCTGGTCACTAAGAGCAGGGGAGGGTCCCCGTGAACGGGGCTGTCTCGGGGCGCTCAGGTGCACCCTGAGCTCTGCTTTCGTCACCTGTGGTTATTGGGGTAATGACGTGCCTCCCCCTCTTGGGGTTGTGGTGAAGATGAAATGAGTTAACCAAGCCTGGCACAGACGAGATGTTGGATAACTGTTAGCTGGCCTTGGGATTTATTGAGCTGGCCTCCTGGTTACACTGCGGATTAAGACCCCTGTCCCTGCTCCTGGAGGGGCCCAAAGTCTAGTGTTGCAGGCCAAGGCTCCGGTGCAGTGCGCTGACATGGTCCCCAGACACTTGGCTCCCCTGGGAATGCCCCCTTCCTGCGCGGTGTCTTTGCGGGCTCTGGGTCAGGGGTCAGACCCCACCGGGTCTGCAGCAGCACCCTGATTCAAGCCTCGCCGGGGCAGGGGGCCCTGTTGAATCCGCACACCCCATCGATGAGCAGATTTCGAGCCTAATTTGGGAGCTCCAGGGGGCCTCTGGGCGACCAGACAGGGCTTGGAGAACTCGGAGGTGCAGGGGCCGCACTCACTCGCCGCAAGCGGCCTTTGCGCGCGCCTCTTGGCCGGGTGAGGGCCGCCCGACTTCCTCACTTGCAGCGGCTTGCGGACGCCGCGGTCGGGGCCGCGCCGGGAGCTCGGCGCAGGCCCGTGCGCCCTGAGGTGGCGGTTACACGTGGAGGGAGGAAACTTGGCGCGCCCGGGAGGTCGCTGCGGCCGCGGGGCGCGCTCGGAAAGGGAGCGCGGCGGCCCCTCCGCGGGACGCGCTCCAGCCCCCTCCCCGAGCTCTCCACCCCTCCCTGCGCCGCGCACGCCGCCGTCGCCCCGGCTGAGCGGCTGGACTCGCCCCGGCCCACAGGCCCGACTCGCACCCAGGACCCGGGCGCGGCGGCCCGGGCGCGGCGGTCCCTCCTTGCTTCGGAGAAGCGTCGGCCCTCCCCTCGCCCAGAGGAGCAATCCAGCGGGCCGGACGTCCCGAGAAGGCCGGAGCCCGCGGCCACGTCCGGGCCCGGCCCGCACGCCGAGGAGCCGGAGGAGCGGGCTCCTTCCCGGGCGCGCCGGAGCCGGGCAGGCGCTCCCTGCAGCCTCGAGGACCTCCGCCTCCCGGGCCGCAGCTGGTCCAGCTCCGGCCGCGCAGCGAGCTCCTCCGTCAGGTAAGGGAGGCGGCCCGCTCTGGGCTCCCGCTCCGGCCGGCGTTTCGGAAAGTTGATTTGAAATGCAGCCAGGAGCGCGCAGGGCCGGAGCGGCTCCGCCCCGAGGCGACTCCTCTGCTCCGGCAGACCTTCCCGGCACCAGCGGGCGGCAGGAGGACGCCCGGCGCCCCGGGTCCGGAGGGCTCGCACTGCCCTCTCCGCGGGCCAGGCGCGGGCTGCGGAGCTGGTGGCCCCGCGTGCCGGAGCCTTTCACCCCATCCCACCCGGGAGCTGGGTTCCAGCGGGGACGTCCGCAGGGCCCAACGCAGTGGAGGTTGGGCGGAGTCAGGCCAGCACGGGAGCCCAGGGCTGGGACAGGGTGGGGACGTGGGGGCAGGGAAGGAGAAGCGCAGTTGGGGGGCGGAGGCCTAAGTACATAACGCGCTGACTTCGAGTGAAGTCAGATCAGTTGGAGCGGCTGGCGGTGACTGGTCTCTCCGCCCACCCCACGTTCCTCTTGGCTGGCCTCTCCCCTGCGGCTCCTTCTGGTCACCCTGGCCACTCCCTCCGGCCTTTCCCAGGAGTGCGGCGGCCGCGTTCCGGAGGGCACGACGCCAGAAGCGTCGTTTCCTCTCCTCCGTAGGTCCTCGCGGCCCGGCCGGAACATGCTGGACGGGCTGAAGATGGAGGAAAACTTCCAAAGCGCCATAGAGACCTCGGCCTCCTTCTCCTCGCTGCTGGGTGAGTTCTCCGGCCACACGCCCCCGGCGCCCGGCCAGGTCCAGATCTGGAGCCCCGGTCGCTGGGACGCGCTGGGCAACAGGGGAGCTGGCTCCCCGCAGCTTGCACTCAGCTGAGACCCTGTCTGTCCGCCAGTCCCTCGGTCCCCCCTGCCCCAAACAGAGCAGCCGACAGGCCTCCTGCGCGGGGCATCGAATTCCCCAAAGCCATGAGGGCTGGGCAAGCTGGCTCGCAGGCGACCGATTTCAAGTGATTAAAAACACCCTCGGCAGGATTTTTAATCATAGAGCTGATCGACAGCTCTCAAATGCCTCCCTGTCTTCGGGGGCCCACAGGCGAGCGTGGAGGAGGCTTCTCGCGCCCACCGACCCTAGGCTCGTCTCAGCCGAGGGGCTTTTCCGGGCCGGTGGGCAGCGAAGCGCGGGGATTAGCCTGCGCGGCGGGGCCCTCGCCCAGGCTTAATTAACTAGAGCAGGAGCTCCGGCCGGAGGCCCTCCGCCTCTCCAGCCTCTTCGCAGCGACCGCAGGGAAGCAACGCGCCCAGGGCCTCGATAGAATGTGCGCGCGCGGGCCCCGGGAGCCAGGGCAGGACCTCACCCCACTCAGCTCGTCCTTGGCACCTTTCAAGTTTGGGGAGCGGGTGTTTCGATTGTTTTAACGGGAGGGGTTTTCGTTTTGTCCTTTACTGTGGCCTCTCTGCATCGCCAGAGCCGCTAGAGCGGGGTGGAGGCGACGAGGAGACATTTCGGAGGGAGAAACCGCGTGGAGAGAAGCCCCCCAACTCCCCTACGGACACGCAATCGCGTGCGCGAACATCCCTTGTTTCAGCCGCGGTTCCGGAAACTCCCCGACTCCTCCGCCTGGGAGGAACGCGGGCCCGGGCTGGCAGCGTCCTGGCGCGCGGCGCGCGTGCACCTCCGCTTGAAGCGGGCATCGGGGTTCGTCCTGGGCTCCGCGGGGCACGTCCGCACCAGGAGACGGGGCAGAGAGAGTAGAGAACGTCCACCTGAGAAGTAACTTGCTGCTCTTCTTGGCCTCTCTGCCTGTGCCTCACGTCTGTGACCGCCACCCTGGGGAGCTGGTGGCCAGTCCCCTGAGGGAGTGTAACCGCGAAGCATGGGCGAGACAGGCCCTTTGGGACACGAGGCGCAAGGCTACTGTTACCAGGGCAAGGCTTCTTTTAAATAGCTGTGAAAAGTGCCAACAAAGGTGGCCAAGCGTCCCCCCCCCCCCAAAGCACTTCATCCCGCAAAGGGACACATCAGGAGTCCAGCGGGGTAGGTCCGAGAAGAGTGCCCTGTTTGTGGAATCGGTTTGGGGTCCGTGTAACTCTCTTCCGCGGCTGCTGCGCCGCAAAGCTTCCCGGAGTCCCGGCCAGACGCACAGGGTGTCTTCCCCCCTCGATTCTCCCCTTTGTTTTTTTTCTTCTCTTTATTTCGATGCCTCTTAATGATGAAAAGCCCATCTGCAGTTTGCAGCGGAGACTCAGCAAATGGGGGTTCGTTGTTTTGAGCACCCTGAATTTGCTTGAGGCGAGATGGCGTTTTTCCTGTATGCACGAGGCTTTTTAGAAAGCAAAGAGAAAAAAAAAACTGTAAAGTCTTCCTTCAAAGAAATAAACATAAAAAATTCAGAACTTCGTTTTTAGCAAAAGACAAACCCAAACAAAATTCTTTCTACACACTCAGTTTTAATAAGGGTCGGCAGAGGCGAGCACAGTGCGTGGTTTCATGACTGCGGTAGACCCGGGAGAACGGGTTTATTGGTAGTCTAATTTTGCAGGATGCGCGCGGACCGGGTAGGTTCGATAATTAAAGGCTACTATGGATTTCCTCTCCCTCCTCGGGTGGAGTTTAAACCTTGACTGTGTGTTGGAAGCGCCGCTCGGTTTGATTTTTCTCTGTCTCCAAACCTCGGCCGCCGGGATGAGCCGGGGTTTTCCAGTGGCGGGAACGGGGGCGCCCGCGGTGGGAGCGCCGGGAGCGCGTCCGGCGCGGTGGCGGTGGCGGGACGCGGAGCGCGCGGCTCACCCCCGCGCGTCTGTCGCTGCTGCAGGCCGAGCGGTGAGCCCCAAGTCCGTCTGCGAGGGCTGTCAGCGGGTCATCTCGGACAGGTTCTTGCTGCGGCTCAACGACAGCTTCTGGCACGAGCAGTGCGTGCAGTGCGCCTCCTGCAAAGAGCCCCTGGAGACCACCTGCTTCTACCGGGACAAGAAGCTCTACTGCAAGTTCGACTACGAGAAGTAAGTGTCCGCGCCCCCGGAGCCGGCGATCGCCGCCGGCGCCCTTGCGCGTTTCGGTTCCGGGAGGCGCAAGGGCACCCGAATGCCCAGAGGCGCACGGCGTCCTTTCCCCGAACCGGAGCACTTCTCGGGAGGCAAAGAAATACCCGGCCCACGCCGCCGCCCGCCCCGCGGACAGACGCGCGCCAGAGCTGCCCTCTGTAATCCACTTGCCCAGTTTTCAGTCCTCTGGGGTCCCTACCCTGACTTGGGGTGTCCATTAAGCTTGCTCTCCCAGGCCCCCTTCGCTGGGGTGCCCTGCGGGGTGCCAGTGGCCCCTGTCTCCTCGCTGGTCCCCAGCCCACCTTACCCACGTGTCTGTGCCGCTCCCGCACCCTGCTCCGCTGGGAGGCTCAGCAGCGGGGAGGCCGTAGGGGGATCCCAAGGCGGCGGTCCCTTGCGCTTTTCTTGGTCTGCTTTGTCTGCTGGGGTCCGACACATTGCGCTCAGAAATGGCGCTGTGGCCCCTCTGAGCTCAGGGCGCACACCCCCGTTTGTGGTTCTCTCCGTGTACTCTGCCCCTCCCTTCCCCATTTCTACTGCTGGGGCGCAGGACGGGGGGCCGATATGGAGGCCGGTCGCAGCCCTGTGCCATTGCCCCACCGGTGCCTCCTCAGAGACCCCGGAGTGTGCGTCTGCGTGCTCGCAGCGGGGGTGATTCCCCCCTGCCAACATGAGGAGTGTTTAGAGGAGAACTGGGGGCAGGTAATTCAGAAAGTGGATTACTTTGAATCTCGACTTCTTTGGTGCCTAAAGCCTCCGAGAGGCTGGGGAGTGGGTTAGGGTCCCCAGGAGGCTGGAGTGGCTTTGAGGAGCTGAGGAGAGGGAACTGCTCTCCTTGTCAAAATGGCTAATTAACAGGGACAGAGACTTAGCAGAGCCACAGAGGGTATTGAAGGACTGGAAAGTGGCTGAGAAAGAGGTCTCTCTTTTTTGTGCCCTGGGACTGGTCTGTGTGACCCAGCGGACGAGCCTGCGGGAGAGTTCCACATTTGTCACCGGTGAAGGGAGGGGACAGCACTAGGTGCCGATAATCGAGGGCCAGTCAGCGTGAGTGCCAAGCGATTTTCTCCGAGTTAGCAAAGCCACACAATGACTGGGGCAGGGGTGTGTGCAGAAGTCTCCAGGTAACAAAAGCACCGAGGAAAAACAAACACGCGTGTATCCTTCTCTGCCTCTCTGCCTTCTCTGCCTCTGAGACCTGTGACCACAGGCAAAATACCCTTTCTGCCACTCGGTGCTGCTTTGCCAGGATATACTTGAACTTAACCCCATGTGTGTAGTGTGCTGGGCGTTTTGTGATTTGTTTTGAAACGCTGACTCCATTTTCAGTACTAAAAAAAAATGCACATTTGATTTGGGACGAGCTGGACAATGCAGACCGATAGACCATGAACACAGGCCACCACTTCCCAGAGTGGCAATTGTGGCAAACATTGGGAAGCAAACAGGCGCCTGCATCTGTCTGTTTTTGGTTGCCTGTTTATGGCCACTGTGTCTCGGTGGACGGTGCAGTTTTTAGAAAATTCAGTCTGTCTTGCCCACACAGCCCCTAGTTCCACTGCTGGGTCAAGAGCCTGGTTGATGGCTCCCCCCACCCTCCCCCAGGCCCCGGCTCGAGTCCGGGGGTCTGTGCAGGCCCAGGCTTTATCCTGCCGCTTTCAGACCATCACTGCGATGCCCACCCCCTTTGGGCAGAACACTGGCAAATTCACGAAGATTGGAGGATTTGGGTTGTGGATTTTCTGTTCTGTTTGTTAACAACGACGACAAAAAAATCGCAACTCCGAACAGGCCGCAGGGTCAACACAGCTGTCCTGCCAGCCGAGCCCGCGCTGAGGAGGCCGGGCTGTGTCAAGAGAAGGAACAGTTGTTGGAAGGCCCTTCCCACAACAATGCCCTGCCACTCCAGCCCCTCCGATTAGCCCACTTCCAGTCCCTTCTCCCCCGGCGAAGCTCTTTCTGCCGAGGGAAAATTGCAGGGATCAACCTCGCAGCTGTTGACCAGAACCGGGAGGGTTTGAGGGAGGCGTGTGAGCGCGCCACGCTGGCCGGAGAAGTGCGGACGGTGCCCGGAGGGCCTCCGTTTCGATTTCAGCGAAGGTTCCAGAGACTCGGATGTCCGGAACGGGGTTTCGAGGACTCTGTAGCTGGGGGTGCACTCTTAGCACTTGTCTGTGCCGGCCCACTGGTTGTCTTTTTTTTTTAGTTTACTTTTATTTCTTTTCCCCCTCCTCCTCAATCTCCCAGCCCAATCCCCCGCTTCTTCCAACAAAACAGGGTTTGAATAGACTGGACCGACTCTGTGGTGTGAGGGGCGGGAGAGAGAGGGGAGGCTAGTTTGTTTCTTTGTTTTAAAACTGGGCTCAGGGCAAACACCTTCATTCTTCCTGATTGGCTGGAGCTGTTTCTGCAGGCCAGGCACGGGCTGGGCAATGGGAGAGCACAGGAGGGGCGCAGCCTGCCTTCAGGGGGCATGCGGCTCAGTGCTGGTCCCCTTTGCGTGGTCCGGGCCAGCAAGCCTCTCTCAAAAAGCCCCTCTGCTTTTGGGGCTTAGAGTGGAGGGCTTGGAATGGGACAGAGGCTGTCCGGAGTGGCCGGGTGTCTGTCCCCTAGAGGGACCCAATCCAATTTCAGATAACACTCGGGAAACAGAGAGCAGGCTTCCTTTTTAACAAGTGTGTTTATGAACTTGAACGTGCCTTTCTCGTGGGATCCAGGTAAATTGTGAGGCCCAGTGAAGGCCCATGGAGAGGAAAATCTGACCGCTTGCGGGGCGGTGGACAGCGATGGTGGTAGACTGTGGAGCGCTTATTTCAAAAGGCACTTATTGGTGACTTCTCCAAAATCCGTGAAATTCAAATGCGGCTTCTGGGCACGCAAATGGAAGAGTGGATTCTTCGGGCAGGTCAGAAACTCCGTAGGAGCGAGGCAGGTTTGTCCCCTGTGTGTGGCTCTGGCTGCCGGGCGGTTTTGCATTTGAGTTATTAGCTGCCTGTTCTCGGTGTCAGGCAGCCTGTTACGAAGCGGAATTTCTGCTCTATCAACTCATTGCAACACCTTCTCCACGTCAAGCCCTGAATCTGCCTAATTAAAAAAACCCTGGGATTGACAAGAGAGGCATCGCAGGCCCACAGCGGTCCATTCGACAGGCTCAGGATGTCTGGTTAAACATTTCTGTCCTGCACTATGACACCCTGAGGAGAAATTTATCTTCTGCTCATCCAAAACAAATAAGCATTTAAGGCCCGAGTGGAGAACGCTGATTTATGAAGGTCCAGAAATGAGGAAGTGGACGTGACTTTCATTGCTCTCGACACGTCATCCGAGAAAAACGGCTGGTCAGGTGGGGTGATGCGTTTACAGGGTCGCAGGAGGTTGCTGGAGGTGGGGACGTTGGAAAACTGGGCACGACCCTCCTCCACGTTCCCGAACGTCCACGGGCAACCAAAATATTCTCCGGCCGAGGGGCCTTCTATTCATGTAACTGCTGGTCCCGATTTCACTGTGTCCTGTGATCTGATTACTTGGGAGTTTTCCCTAAATTAGTTCCCGGAAGAGGCTGCTGAGTAACAGGAATGGGGTTCTGGGCTAGAGGGTGAAGCCTGCTGGAAGGGCTCCTGCCGCTAAGTCAAGTTGATGCTGTGTCTTTCTCGTGCCTGGAGGCTCAGTGCGTCAGGCAGGCCCGCCCCCCCTCGTGTGGGAGGTTTATCATTGTCCCTTCGGTGTCTGTGGACGGCGTGGGGGCGGTCTGGGATCAGATGGCTGTCATCGGGGCCGCTGTCCTCACATCGTTCCTCCCCGCACGACAGCAGGCCTCGGGAAACCTTTCCTCCAGGGCCCGGCCTCGGTCGCCCCCCACCCCCCGCCCCCAGCCTTGCTTTGGGATCAGAAGGATTTTGTGAAGAGAAAGACTGACTGGGTCTCCGAACATCCTCCGTGGCATCTTTTTTTGGACCTGCTGATTGGCAGCTCCTCGGAGAGAATGGCTGAGCTAATGGTCTCTGTTAAAACCCGAGATGAACTGATTCGGCATCTGGTCGAAGTCCTGCAGGAAGTGTGTGCAGGAAGGACAGTTAGTCTGCTTTTGTTACTTGGAGATCAAAAGTGGGCACCCAGGTCCCCCAAAGAGCGGCTGTGGAGGATGTGACAGAGGCCATTGTCCCATTTTCGCTCGGCTTTGTGCTGCCGGCCCGGCTCCCGGCAGAATAAAAGGGAAGGGATGTAAAACTCAAACATGGCCGGGCAATAAATGGAGGTTGGTGCTCAGGTGCTGGGGGGCTTAGCCCGGAACACGCAGCGCCATCCTCAGCCGTGGCTGTGTGTACGCAAAAGAACACGTCCCTCGTGTTTTATTTAGGGGGGCGATTGGAAATGGCCTCGCTCAAGGGCGCTTTCTTTGTTATTATGTGTGTTGGTCCCTGGGCGGGACTTTCTTGGGATCGAAGACTTAAAATTCTGCAACAAAACCAGATGGCAGGAGTGGACAGTGACGGTGTCCTGGGACCCCGAGATGGGCATCGCCTCCCAGAGCCGGCTTGCGGGGCTCCTTTGGTTCTTCCAGAAATGGTGCACACCGGAAAAGCTGGTCCACACCCCGCGCCCATCTCGGACCCTTGTCACTCCCGGGGCTGAGGCTATCGGGTCCAGATGTCCAGGGAAAGAGCTTTCCCGACGGTTCCTTGTTTGTCCGGCTTTGTAGTTTGATTTTTCTTATTTACGACTTTTGTATTCTCCCAAACGCTGTGAGGGATTCGAGAGGGGAGTCTGGGGAGTGTTTAGGCGACACCAAAGAGGTGCAGAGTCTCCAAGGAGAACAATTCCATTTATTAAATCATCAGCTAATTAGTGCTCATGGCCTGAGAAACTTTGCGGGCCCTAGTGTTCAGAAGTGAGAAAGGGAACAAGGATGGAGAGTCCTTATGGTGGTACCGGACACGTACGAAAGCTTCTTAGTTGCC